TCAGCACAGGAATATTCTGAGAATAATCGTAAAATTTTATTAATTAGCATTATATACCAGAAAATAAAAGAAAATACACACGACAAAATTATGATTAAAAAAATAGGTTTGGAAACTAATTTTAGTTTATATTTCTAAGCGGTCACCCATCCAAGCTATGTACCTAGTCCAGCGCTGCTTAACCTTCCTGATCGTTCGGGAACTGTTGCTTCGTGATGATCTATAAACATTTATTGGTAACAAATATATACCGCAGTGATACATCTGTTGAATAGAAGTTGTCAAGAAGATTGAATACATATAGTTAAAATATATTTCATTCGTAAATATAAAATTTACATGTATTAAAGTACAAAATATAATATTTTGACTAACTTTTTTGTTCTCTTTGATATGCGCGCGTTAGACAAGCGTACGTATCACTTTCCGTAGCTTATTAATTGAGTTATTTCTGAGATCATACACGCGCGAAAGAAAACTGAATGCTACTTTACGAGATATTATTGTGTTGATCTCATTGTCAGTTGTACAGATGATCGTATAAAAGACCCATTTCCCAAACAGCTCGTTTTTCTCCTTCCCTTTCTCAAAACCGAAACAGGAGCAAGTACTGTCGAGGTAGGAACGCGAAACTTAAAAAATAGTTGCTAAAGGTCGCCTTCATCAATAGCTTCGAGTCGTCTTCCTGCAGAGTCACTCAACGGAAAAGTGTGTCGAAGAGAAAAAAAATTAAATTTCTTTTATTATTATTATTACTATTATAACTCTAGTTTTTATTGTTTCCTTTTTGGGTCTTTCGGTACTCGACAGCCTCTATTTCTTTCGAAGATCATGCCTGTGATCGGGATGATAAAGTTCGAGGTTTCTCTAGGCTCCTCCACAATGGGGGCAAGTCCTTATGGTGACTCCTCTTCTTCCGCATCCGTAACAGAATTGCAACCTTCGGGGTTGTGGGTAATTGGACTAATGGTGCGCCACATCATCGCAGTTCCAGCAGCCGTTTGGTGGAATATCGCTACTCCGAGATGAGCTCAGCGTACGCAGTTCTGCGACGTTGCTGGTCGGGGGTCCGGGGATCGAGAGTTGCTGGGTCCAGATACCTACAGTAGTGTATCTCGAGCGAGTGAGCGGCGACTCTTCTCGCGCACTATCCACAAAAGGCAGAATGGTTAGGAGGAAGTCAATTAGTACATGAGTGGAGCGCGGACAAGTTGTATATTCCGCTGAATCTTCCTACAATTCCAAGCAGGAATTAATAGGTTAATATCAAAGAAGAAATCATGACTGAGTGATAAGTCACTACATCCCATTTGATCTAAATAACGGCGTAATTCGGGATTCTCTCTGATCAATTCAACTCCACGTACTTCGGGAAACCTGGACGCATAATTCCAAACTGCTTGTCCGCAGAGGAAAACATCCGAACTGGAACCAGCTGAAGCAAGCATGCAACCAAGTGCTCGACTAATACAGTAGGACCAGTCGTCCTTCAAGAACTGTGGATATAACATGGATGCGATTAGGTCTATGGAGTCTTTTATCGGAGATCCATTATTGTTATAATATCCAAAGAAACGAATGTTCTTGAGATTAGTTGTAGCGTAGGACTTTGTAGGACTAACTACCATGCCAAATATCTCTTTCGCTACACGTGAAAAGCATTCTACGTCAGCAAGTACAGAAGAAGGTATGCATATCAATCCTTCATCGCCAAAAGCCAGTTCAAAGATAGGTGTACATTCTAAACTACAATCACAGATCGTATACATTACCAACAGATTGACAATTGTATCAATAATGTTAGTGAACATTGAACCAAATGGTACTCCATGGTTCTTTCTAAATCTTCTGCCATCCGAATTCCGGATAGTAGTATTAATAAAATAATCAACCATCCTTTTAAACTTCCTCTTTTCATGTGACTCATCAACAGGAAGAATGTTCCCACCCTGGTTTACATGGGAAAAGTCAAACTTCTCTGCTAATAACTTGAAACTGTCACGAATTAACCATGCTGGTACCAATGAGTCAAAAGCACTATAGTCCAACATGATAAACTTGCATCCGGGATCGAAATAACGAGCCCTCATCGCTTGGAAATGCAACCAGGTCATACCTCCTTTCATCATCTCCATGCCATACGCCATTTGTGGCAGGATTTCCTGATTTTTAAATAGATGAATGAGAGGTGCGGCAAACTGCGACTCCTGAACGATAGCGTGCAAAGGATATGCCCAAACTGGACGCACCTTATTTTTATCAGGAGTAGAAATATGTGATCTTGCAAACGCGGCGCAATCCGGTAATGGAACGACTGGTAATCCAGCCCCAACCCTTCTCCAGTATCCGACGATAGATGGAAGAAACCTATTAAGGATCTCTCTCTTCTTAAGTCCCGGCACATTCACGATCCAAGGTAATCCAGGTGAGGTGCTCCTCGGAATGTGCTCTATACTATCCATCACTCCCATTATCGGTATTTTATCATCGACTTTAAGAGCGGCACGTATAATATTCTGAGCATGCTCGTAACTGAGCAGTCTTGTTTTCGGTGGACATTTCCCTCCAAAAGCCATTATGCCATTCCAAATATAATTCGGAGTGATAAAAGAGCGTTTCCTATTTTGAAGTGCATAGTCGGCGATCTTTTTGTGACCCCAGTTAGATACCGACCTATAAGTTTTAAAGGAAACACTAGGCGGTTCATATCTGGTAGGAAACCCACTGGTATCGGGGAGTATCTCCCCTGATTCAACGCTGGTGATTGGATCAACGTCGAGCCTAGCAGGATACTGTACATGGACGGTGTTAATCCTGTTGTAATTCATACGAGTTGTTATAGATGTGGCCATCTGGCTTATCTGTATAGAATAAAAATTTACTGGCATCTCATGGAAATATATTCAGAATTCCGACATAAGCCTATTAATTAATTCGATGACATACCCCCATATCCGGTAAAATATCCGCTTGCCCCATGGTTTTGGTAGCTGACAATTGATCCATTAGACAGCGATAATTTCTGGCGAAATCAAAATTCAGCTCAGTCAGGGGAGTAAATAAGGCTTTAATAAATTTTTGACGTGAATCTTTCCAGCCGCAGTATATGATTACAGGTGTCACAGATTATACGATATTAATACCGAATACGTAATAAGCCTCTCTATTATAGATTCTTTTTTTCTTTCTCTGACCGGCTAATATTCAACAATAGCTTTTGAAACTATTAATAGCTAAACACGATTTGAAACGAACAGTTTTAGTAAAGTAAATTTAAAGTTCGGAATAATCAATAACGAGAATAAAAAACATGCGTAGAGATTCTCAGCGCACAGAGATTGCAAACGTAAACACAAATTGGTCTGCCAGAGTACGGAAAAAAAAACGATTGAAGGACAAGCAAAGATATTGAAATGCTATACGGCTTGAAACAACAGACACACCGTCAGGAGATATTCAAAATTTAACAGAACCGAATTTCACTCAAAATCTATATAGAATGATATACGAAAGTGTTCTAGGTTCGTGACACGCACAATATTTTTATTCACTGTTGAAAAGAAAAGGATTGACACAACACATCACGACGCAACGATTACTACAGAGATACAGAAATTATTTCTCATAATAATTACCAACAACTCTTTCTCTATCGCTCTTCAAATCTTGCAATGACTCACCCAAAAAAAAAATTTTTAATATTAGTGGATTCCGCTAAATCTTACAGGATTTTATTCTTGTATACGCCTCAAGAGGAATCCTTTGAAATTAAGAGGAAATTAATATTCTGTGCACAATATTCTAATAGTTAGAATAATTTCGTCTTGCATTTACAGTACAAATCTTGTACTGTAAATCTATATTTATAATGCAGATCGGAAGAGCA